TTTTCAATCTTGCCTTTAAGATTCGTGCCACTGCTATCCTTACATAAACGTTGGTCATTTTATAGGAATTCTTTTCGGTAGTAGGCTACATTTTTTTACGAAAACAGATTTAGCACGTTTTTTTGTTTCATTTTACTTTACATTTGAGAGGAATTATACTGTGGAATAATTAAAACAATAGTGTTCTCGTTTATAGTGTTCTCTAGAATAGATTTTTTACGATCGATTTGCTACAAACCACAAATCTGATATAAACCTAAGTATTTTCTACTAACCAAATACACTTGTACTGTATTAACTACGGCCGTGGTTATCATATTAACTTTTATAGTGGAGTATATGTAATTTTATTCGAAATACAATGATGGGACAATTAAGAGTGATATCATAATTTAGGGTAAGATATATATACCTTTGTCCAACATTGGTCGGATGGCTCACAATTGGAATTCGCGATGTCGACTTTACGCCGTAAAAACTAGTAGATTATAGGATAGGCCTCAATAGTGGATCTTTGGTATTTTATTACCTATGCCACATATTATGTTAAATACCGTATTGAATAACTAATTGTTTAATAATAAACAGTACTGATAACGATTGACTCAATAATCAATACTAATGTTGGTCATGATTGGCCATTGTTTGAGAGGATGTGTAGTCACCCGTAGTACATTTGACAGAAATAGACTTCTGCGGTAATAATAGATATGTAATCAACTCAAAATATACACTAAACAGTAGGTTTGATGCGTTTAAGGAGTACAAGTAGAAAAGTAAAATCATTAATGTTTCATTAATTTTATTTTACTTCTTTGCTATCAAAGGTAATTAAGAAATAGGGTTGGATAGAGAGATCCGGTTTTTTGTAGAGAAAGAATAATTAAAACTGTTGGCATTAGATGGTTTAAGTTTTATATGTCGATGAAAAAATTTTATATGAATATTGAATAAATTAAAGGCGTTTGGGCTATTTCGAATAGGGTTTGATTATAAGATTGATATTTTAAAACCTTCGCTATTCCCCAATTGGTCCCAATCATGGATGGAGTCTCCATTCAAAATCGATACAACGTTGAGAATTTCTCTACTAGAAATGGATATAATCGAAAATTATAAAGTAAGACGTCCAGTATGTCTAGGCCCACTGTACTTTTTGTCTACTTTTTCTGTTAGATATACCGTTAGCCCCTATTCGTGCCCTTAAATTCCTGTGTATTTAGCGAGTTTGGTTTTAATTGAAATTAACAAATAAAATATTGTAAATCTATAAGACATGTTATCAAGATTGACTCCTTATCAAAGTTTGCAATAACATATAACCAAGGACAACTTGATATCAAGGTCCCACTGTGATGGCACTGTTTTTGTTTGTTTTTTTTTCTTAAAATAAAACACTGAAATACCAATACAAGTGTTATTATGTTTTTTGTCAAGTATAAGGAACTCTTGTGGAAATATAAAATGTGTAAGTTAAAAAAGGAGATAAATAAAGGGGACAAGGCTGAAGGTGTTCATCTGGAAGTAGATAAGAAACTTATGAGTTTTATGTTAGTACTTATGATTTATTTAAGCAAGCATTCTTTAACTGTTGGCATTTTCTAAATATAATTTTGCATAAAAAATTATTACATGTAAGCTATTTCAAAGTCCTTTAGTATATAGGAAACTTTGTTATTATTGCCTTAATTGTAAGATTGCCCCACTGAAAATAATAAGTCGAATCAAAATACGTCATACTCCATAGGCAATTGCAACAAATACAAATTATAATAAATTTGATGCATTTAGATATCAAATCCCACACATTTCTGTAAAATCGTATTTAGCAAATTACCCTGAATACAGAAAAACTGAACGTATGTGTAAAATGAACTGTTTAAAGTTTAAAACTGATAAGTCTCTAACGCTTGCTTTGAAATTTACACAACTGAAATTTAACAAGTCAACGTGAGCAGGCTATTTTAATCATTCGTGTGTGTATTTTATTCATATTGGTTAATTAAAGAATCAAACAGTTGTAGTTATAATCTTATGTTTGGGTAGTGTTCTATACGAATTATGTATTACTGAAAATAATTTACTTACATGATATATGTTTTAACAGCTGTTTTATATGTCAATTTTGGTTAGAATGTATAACCTATTGTTCAATAAGCTTTCAAACTTAAGCAATGTATGTAATGTTAATTATATAAGTTTTGTAGACTGCATGAAAACTACAGCATTATCAGCCACTTCACTAGAACCAATGTAAGTGTGCAATAACATAGTGTTTGAGTGTGGCAAGTGTGTGGTGAGCACTGCCCTTTGATCCTGACGGTTCGGGATAAAATCCTGCTAATCACCAAGCTCACATTATATAGACTGTGTGGTGTGTTGACATTCGAAAAGTCCAAGTGAGTGTATTTAGTTTTTTAGTATTTATTAAAATTTGCGCTCAATCATAGAAGCCTATAAGTAAATCATAAATACATATTAGTATCAGGGTTTGATGCAAATGTTTATACATTATGCACTTAAGATGCCTAATATGAAATACAAACGCTTTTGCACGTGGTGCCAAAAAAACAAACTAGATTCATTCCTCAAAATAATTTAATAGGATGCCCAAGGTGTTGGATATTGACAAAACAATTATTAAAAATCCTTTGATCATGAAATTATAAAATATATAACTTTGTAAAACAAAAACAGATAATATTTGCTAAGGATATATAGTACATGGTCTTTAGATCACTTGTAATCCATGCACTAAATATTTTTCTTTACTATCACCGACCAATGGTCATGATAAAAACCCTAATTCTAATAATTCATTTAGTTTCTTTACATTTCCTAAGTAAAAGCAAACTATCGTTTAAACAGTTCTCAAGCCTATTACTAATGTTTTGACAATATCCAAATTGATCAAAAACGATTATTTTTTAATTGTATTTATCACTGAAGAAAACTTTATATTGGAAAGGTTTCTGATTAATATAAGTGTAAATACTACCTAATAACAACCGGCCCCATATGGTCACTCCCTATGTTGTTAAGATGGATGGGAGAATGTGACGGCAGAAAGTTAATATGTAAGATGGATCGAAATCCGATCAAATGTTTGGCCAATAATTGCTACTAAACGCTCTAAAGTAGAATAACATAGCTAATAGGAATTGTGGGCAGGGTATAGATGGAACGTGGATTTTGTGATTTTATCACGAAAAGATTTAAACTGATAAATAATTCAATAACAGATAACTAAAATAACAGTATTGTTGTGAAAAGTTCACGTTTTGGCATGAGAAAGCGTAATGAAATAGGGAAGGCCACTCACTATGCCAATCAAGAGAGCGCCAACACAGTATTTAGTATAAGCACATTAACAAAACACAGTTGCCGAATCGTTGGACGAAATTTCTCCATAACTATTTAATCATTCGGCCATAACAAATATTTGAACAAATTTTACATTTATTATTCAATTTAGACATAAATCCTACATTTTCTAACAGAATATGTAGTTTTATTCTGAGATAAATTTAAATACGTTTTGAAATACTGTATTATAAGGCCATCATTATATTAGCCTACAACTTTTATAGGTCATTACGATATCGACATATCGGAGTTTCATAAAATTTAATCATTTTAATCCTCGATCATTTAATCATCAAATTTAATCTTTAATTACCCAGGATATGCGTTGTATCGATTCATACCTTAAAGGTATTTTTTATTGTTAGAACACGATTTAAAGACCTGATTTTTAATCATCAATTTGCTATACAGAGTATAATGGAATATGTTTGGTCTCCCTAATGTGATTTTTGTTTGTAAAGTACTATTTAAGTTTCTCCGATTAATTAACTATTACTCTAAAATTAGTGTTAATAAACTGATGATGGTTTCAAATGATATTTGATGTTTTCGATCATTTTAATTTGTAATTTGATATTGATTTTTTGGAAACTATAACGGGAATTTTGTTTTTTACTGACGTGCCCATACGTCGTATTAATTTGAAAATATATTAAAATCAATTCCATGACAACAGTAACGATGATTAAACGGAAGGATCGCTCAAAACCAGAGTACGGTAAAAATATTTGAAAAGCTTAACAAATCTGATGGATATTACAAATCTAACATCTACGAATTATACTTTTTAAACTCGTTTGATGTAATAACATGGTGTAAGTACAATATAAATAAATCTCAAGAGTAGCTGTGCAACGATCTAAATAAACTATCTTAACAATGTTTTCAAATACTTATATTGACATTATTAATATGTATCGCAAAATGATAAATTAAATAGTACTTTTTCCACCGAACTCACATATTTTATACAGAATTGAATGAGATTGTTTTGTTTAGTCCAACCATACGAAATACCTTTCACGCGTTATTTCTGTAAAGTTTTGAAAAGTAAGCTACAGATCGTTTGAGCTTTATTTAAGCTTGATACATTACATAAGCCAAAGATATTAAAAGGTGAAATGCTCGGGTCCGGACAATCTAGCCAGTGATCCAATTAATGAAAGTTATTTCTGGATACAATAGCAACCCGGTTGACACTCACTTCGCCGTGATCAAATTTAAGATTCGAGGTACCCCTCTAATAATTAGGCTAGAAATCGGCGAGTTTACAAATTGTTTCAAAATGTGACTTTCGAGTTTATAAAATTATTCTGGTACTTCTTAATTGATAAGCTACATAGTTTGCAATGTTTGCCTAATTAATAACCGGGTGAGTTTATTAGAAATCGTCACAGATATTAATTTATATTTCCATACCAAAATACATATTTTTAAACTACTTATACCCTCTAAACACTACTTAAAAACTAGCACTTTTAAACTTTCAAAGTCGATCACAAAGTAAGAAAAACATTGAACGTATCACAAATAAATTCCTAAGTGTATACCTTAAGTAAAACAAGTCCGTTGTCTAAATACTACTATACAGTAAACAGTATCCTGTCGTGGACCTATATATGCTAGAAGCGTACCTGTGACTTAAGCGGACGCCTCGGCTGTAGTGAGTGGCGCGTCGAAGATACGGAGGAAGGCGGGAGAAAATCCACACATGCGCAGACCCCGTACACTCACACACACACTCGCAGTACAACTAATTGAACGGGTGCTATTGTTCCTTGACACGTCATTTGGCGTGAAAGTTTAAAAGAAGAAAGTAGCCAGTGACTCGTCTGTGTGTAGCTGCGCTGATCGGTCCAAAATTGTGTCAAGGGTAGGGTTGATAACGCCAAAATCGGATAATAAGGCTTACTAACCCTAAAGTGTATTTCTGAAACATATCTTGTGTCCAAGAGGTATTCATAATCGATAATTTTAGAAGCTTTTCGGAAGTAAATTGATCAAATGGGAAGCTCATTTTGGGAACGGGACGATTGGCACACATTTTTGGATCTTCTGCCCATGGCAGTATTGGCACAATCATTTGAGCGGAATAAGTAGGGTCAACTCGCCTGCTTGGAAAAGGCACGATTGGCACAACCGCTCGACCAGGTAGACGCCATCGAATGAGGGGAAACGGGAAGTTGCTATGACAGACATATGCCGGTAATATCGTGTATTTTCAATGGTTAGGTTAGGTTAGGTTAGTTAAGAAGTTAAGTTAAGTTAGGTTGGGTTAGTGTAGTTTTATTTGGGTCCAGCTGGGGTAGTGACCGTAGCAGCAGATTTGTCGCTCAAACTTACACCATGGATGAAGTAATTGCTTACTCTAATAAGCACTACAGCATGGACTTTGTGGGGACAAAACTATTTCCATTTTCCCGCATTCTGGCTACCTGCCTACTACTTCCTTACCGGTCTGTTGTGCCAATCGTGCCTTTCCGAACCTTACAATTTGGCCCTTCTTAATCCCCTCTAATGATTGTGCCAGTCGTGCCATTCCAAATCGGCTAAAAATGTGTGCCAATCGTTCTACGGCCCTAATTTTAAGTGTTCGATTGTCAATGTCAAAAACATGCAATGCTTTTGATAGGAAAAGAATACTCATTATTTCGTGGAAATAAAAGACCTGTTGAATGTTTGAGTTTCTTAGATAAACTTTATAAAATGCAAATATTAGAAACATATGACTTAATCAAAGAAACGATAGGTAAATACAGGCTTTAAGCATGTCCCAAACACAAGGCACGCAGCATATAAATAGGTGAACCACCAGTAGATCAGCAAATCACTTTGTCGCCAGGCCGCTTGACAGTTTTATTTTTTTTTTATTTTTAATAAAATTGATTAATACGAAAACCTCTTCGTCTATGGTAATCTCCTTCGCCGATAAGACAGTCGAATGTCATGTCACTTAATCGACATTTAGGTAAAAGACGGTCATGTGGTCTGACGACAGAGTGTTTGGTCGGCCAACTGGTAGGATCCATATGTTTGTAGTGAACACTAAAACAGGAAATTATCAAAAAATTCTGACATATGACTCCAAACTAAGTTATTAAAATGCTATAGGTTCTGTTTATTTAAAATACTTTTACGATTCAATCAGCTATTTCGTTTAAACTACACGCATAGTTAAGTCAAACAAAAGTTTTACAAACAAAAGTCAGGTTATTTCACTTGGTAGATTTTATTTTCCCCAAATACTGAAAAGAAAAGTACTAAAGAGAAAAATAATTAATTTCCAGTGACCTAGTTTTATCTAATAATTTAAGAACCCGAGGAAGTACTAAAAAACCAGCAAATAAGCACTAGGGCCAGACTACATTTCTATTTAATCTTTCACAACATTTAATGCTGATATTATTTATATAATTTATTTTGTAATGCATTTTATAGCCTTCCTTACTGATTCATTTACCACTGAATTATTCCCATTTTTGTAATATTTAATATCCAAAATGTGTGGATAGAAACAAAAATAGAAAAGAACCTGGAACTTTTGATTTACTTTGTAATACTTAATGTAAAAACTCAATGTAAAACGTTTAAATTAAGTTTGACTGTTTACACCACACCCTGTCAGTGATTTTCACGTAAATTAAAATGTGAATGTATTTTTTTAGCATCAACACAATATATTTATTATAATATTCAGTTGTAACAATTATATCCAGCATATTTTAGATAATATAATGTAAATTATACCATTACTTATTGAATTCACTCATTCCTACGGTTGCTACTTATAAAATTAAAAGGTCAAATAAATCAAAATTAAAAGTAATATTTCAAACGAAAAAAATTAATATTACATTAAAGTAACATGTCCTAGAATTGTCAGTATGATATTAATTGTCAGTTAATAGTCAGTAGTAATATGCGAAGATAATAAATTGTGACGTCATCAATAATAGGACACGTTTCAAGACTGCATTGATGGATAACCGGTTAGCGATTAAAACTACGCTGTCTCAATAAAATTTAAAACGTGATTGTTCATAAAAAGTAAGAAATCATAGTAATGTTTGAATAAACTTAACATAATACTATGTAATAGCTTATTATGTTTTCTACCTAACATGGTAGCTCAGAGGTAGCGTCTCGTGCACGTGTGAGGTTCGAATCCAGCAGCCTGCAAAATCTTATACCACTGACTATCGCATGTGACTAGTAAATGTTTAGCTCTAGTGCTGGTGTCTAGGGTAAAGTCCAACACTGCCCTCCTCACCCTCATGTACTACAACGCTCACGAAGGAGAAATACCCTGAGTCCTGTACAATGGAAATTTACGCACGGGCTTGCCATTCGGGCTCTTCCTTGATTGGTGCAAGTTAGTATATTTACGGCACAACATACTAGAGCTGAAAGCACCCGGTAAATATACTGAATATATCCCATAAGCGAGATCCCTCTGTCCGCAGGGACATAAGTACACCTTACTTCTCTTTGACTTGCCGTAACGGTGGTGCTGTACCAGGGCCCCCTTGACGGGCCCAAGGGCGCAAGAGGTTTTAGGTTGTTGGGGGTGCAGGGAAGAGAAAAAACTCCTTCTGAAGGTGGGCAGAGGGGCACAATAAACCCCCGGGCCCATAACGCGTAAGGTTCAAACTGCGGGCCTGCGCTGTTCCACGAATACTAGAAAAATACCGGTATGGATCATAAACATAAACAAATGCCGCTTTTGGCCCGAAAATAAACATTATTTAACATTGCTTAAATGGTACTGCCAAAACATATGTTCAATGCTATTAGTATATGATTCGAGCCAACAACGTCATTTGATTATGTTTATGATCCATAACGGTATTTTTCTAGTATTCGTGCACTGTTCTGTCAAAACACAGTAGAGATAGTCTGCACAAAAACGGACAGTTAAGGTTATTCGTGAATCGATTCAATTGACTATGAATCGTTTGCAACGACTTTGTAGGTTCACACCCCAAAGTTCAACCAGCTTATCCCCTGCTTTTCTTGATACGTTCCACGCACAAGCATAGTGCGTATTTCCGCTACGTTAACAAGAAAAAGCAAGGTTAAAATTGGCAGCCAACCTCCTAAAACTATAATATGAAATAATTTGAACATATTATTATCCACTTAGTGCCTGCTTTAACTATTTTAGCAAATGTCTCATATAGGGAATAAGCTATTACCGTAGTACTCATGGTAAGACCTGGACCCGGGACCGATTTACTTTTTCGTTTTGAGGTCCCTAGAGGCCAAAAACACCATCCGTTCAAATTCATCTATAAATATTTATATATGTGTCCGTTAGCGCGATAACTCAAGCAAAAATTGTCCGATTTTGATGAAATTTTGTACAAACGTGTAAACCTACATTTATTCGAACGAGTTCACGAACCAGCATGATCGGACTATGGGAACAGGGGTTTATGGGGGGGGTTTTATGGGGCAAAAATAGGTTTTTCTTATTTTTGACCCTAAAATCATAAAACTTAGCATTTTCTTTCCAAACCATTTTGTAGAGCTTAAAAAAACAAATAATTTAGTATATTGAAGCGTTATTATGCACCTAATGGTTACGGAGAAAATAAAAAAAAAACTGTAAACTAAAAATTCCCATGTTATTCTTATGGAGAATAAGTAAACTGTTGTAGTTTGCTTGTTCATGATCATATTTTGATCAAATTCGGAAAATGCATTCATTTTATACTAAACTATTAACATTTTACAAAAAAACCTTTTTACCCTCCCTGTTGCAGCAAACCTAAGTACTCGTTTAACTAATGTTATTTAAATAGGGAATAAATGTGATATTTTTAAGGAGACATTTTGGTGCAAATCCAATCAGGCAAATGGAAATTCGCTTAGTCTGCAGGTTTGCTGCGGCGGGGGTATATTTTACCTTAACTATAATTAGGTAAATTATAAATTAAAAAAAAATGATTTTTCAGCCAACAATACCGGATAGGGTATGTTAACAGGAAATAGTTTTACCCTGGTCCCTCTCAGTGAGTAAATACAATTAATTCGATAAAACATCTATTTCAAACTGAAATATTATAGGTCTACGTATAGTCAACGATAAAAAGTGTGAAAAGGGTAGCGAAAGAATTAAAGTTAAAATTTCATTCCACATAAATTCTTGAGAAATCGGCTAAACAATATCAAAAAACAAACTTGAAACAACCTGGTGTATCCAACCTTATCCAACAGTTATTAGTAAGGTTTTGTATGGTACAGAAGCACTAGGTTCTATTTTTAAATAATACACAGTTGTAAAATCACTGGACAACGAAGTGGCCGCTAGTTTCAACGAACTACTTTGTGATCTTTCCAATAGAAGCCAAATGGAAATCCCTCCGTGGAGTGATTTGTATTGGAGTTTTGGAGACTCTCTCGAAGGAGCTGTTAAACTCCGTTTTTAGATTACAGTATTTTGTAATCCCTCAACAAGGAATTATCACCGTAGAACTAGAAGTTTTAGTTAGACTGTGATCGAAACATTCTTTGGCCTTAATGATAAAACAGGTCACAGTCCAATAGCTAATCTATAGTCCATTTCAAGGAACATGTCTTCTATATGTACAAGTACTGGAATGGAATGCAAAGGGTTTACTAAACGCTAACCAAGAAGAAGAAGAAGAAGGAGGGTTTGAAATTATATCCAGCAACTTGCGAAAAGTTTTTAGCAGATTTCCCTATAG